TATCAAGTTTCTTTGCTTCTGAATGTTTCAGTGTGTGCGCAGCGCGATCTCGGCTCTCTGCGTGCGAGTGACGTATGTGTGCGCTTCAATGAAAACAGTGGTGATTCAACTGTTGAATAAATGCATGAATAACTTTTTCCAAGTCTTGAAAGCAAAGTGTCAATTTAAGTCTAGAAATGATTCTCAATTGATAGTAGCTGTTTTTAACAAATGAGCTCATTTGTTTTCAAGACAAAGTTCAGAGTTAAAGTTAACTCCTAACTTTTTTGAATGTGACTTATAGCATATGGAGTGAGATTGTCTAAGTTACAATCTATAGAGTTCCTGGTTTCGGAGGGACCAAAGATAATCACCTCAGTTTTCTCATTGTTAAGATGGAGGAAATGATTTGCCATCCAGCATTTAATATCCTCAAGACAGTCCATGGGAGGCTGCAGAGAGTATCTAGATTTTAATGGAAGGTGCATCTGAGAATCACCGGCATAGAAATGAAAATAAATGTTACATTTCCTGATTATATTACTAGGTGGAAGCATGTACAGATTAAAGAGAAATGGCCCCAGAATGGACCCTTGGGAACCCCACAGGAGATAAAAACTGGCCAGTAGCCACTGAGAATGAATCATATTTAAGATATGACTCAAACCAGAGTATTTCAATGCATGTCTGAAGGATATTGTCATAGTACTGTGTCAAAAGCGGCGGTCAGATCCAGTAAAATCCAAATTTAACCAGTAACAAATCATTCATCACTTTAAACAAAGCTGTTTCAGTTCTGTGAGAAGTTATAAAACCTGATTGAAATGGTCCAAGTACCTGAGTCGAAAGTAACTGAATTTAAGTAACTGTGATAGGACAACTTTTTCCATAACTTTTGAAGTAGAGGCCAATTTTGAAATAGGATGATAATTATTCAAACACTTTACACCAGCATTGGGCTTTTTAAGCAACGGCTAGACAACTGCATGCTTTAAAAACGCAGCGGCAGTGCCAGAGACTAAACAGGAATTAATTATTTCTTGAATGCTGGAACCAGTAGTATCAAAATAACCATTAATGATGTCAAGAGGGAACAACAAGTTGTAGACTTCATCTGCATCACTAATTTCCTCAGGTCAGAGAAAGACACCGGCTGAAAACTATTCAAAGTAGAGTATTAGAGTGAGAAGGAATAAGGGAGGATCCGATGCCATCCATCTTTTCAATAAAAAAACTCAAAAATCTCTCACATATATCAAGAGATGGTTCTACCTTATTAGAGATATCAGGATTATTGAATCTGGGGGAGTCTCTAGATTGAGTCTCCAATGAACTTCTGATGTGCAGCTATATTTAACGATCGTATGATAGCATCAACACAATGTATTAACTGCAGTATAACAAACACACATAGGCAGAACGCCAACGGGTATTTAAAAGCTGATGGGACAGATGGCACACCGACAAACACACACTAGCTGCCCGGAACGACTTTGGGACACAACTACTGATTTTAGCCGCTTATAAAATTGTCAATATGGCCCTAATCTGCTTTTCTTGTTTCAGTTTTTATATACGGCCATATCTTAACTTCCGTTCCTGTGCATAGAAAGTCACTATTGTGCCATTTTTCTTTGTTCATTGTGAAGCGACGTGTTTATTTTCCCATTTGGAGGTCAAGTCATCTAAAAAATGTCAATATCTCCACCTGTCCACACCCCAGATTTGGCACGAATGGGGAAGATGGACCCTTATAAATCTTGCACCCTTCTTCATATTGTTACTCACCACGGATTCTGTTTGATCAGAGGAAGCTTGTCTACAGTCACGTTCCCCACGGGCCCAACTGTGCCGTGTTTATTTGGACTCAGAACACGCAACAATGACACCCATGCAAACAATAACACACACGGTCCTGTCTCGCTGCGGCTCCTCGCTATGAAAACAGGACTAATCATAACAGGAGGGGTTTTCTGTAAAGACCAGCGGAGCAGGAGCTGGTCTCCCATTGAATCGCCGTCCCCGCTGAGATTACATGAAAGCACTTAGAATGTCAGGAAGAGGCTTCTGGTGGCGTTGTGGGCGTCGTTATGTAATGGCATTGTGAATGTGCTTCTTAGAAAAACAGCTTTGAAGTTAGAAAAATAAATCCTAATGTCTGATCCACCACAGGTGCTTCAGAAGTGCTATTTCTTCTTCTTATTTTTTTCTTTCTTTTTTTCTTAAAGCTGCAGTCCGTAGCTTTTTTGGGGTTAAAAATGATCCAAAATACATTTTTGAGAAAATACATAACCAGCCAGTGTTCAAAACTCTCTGCTTGCCGTAGCTCGATTCAAAGCGGTAAGCTTGTAATAATGTTTTTAAATCCAGTGGTACTGGTTGATTTCCGCGGGAGATTCGAACATGTCTTTGCGTCATTACGTCACATCTGTACACATAAAGAAGAGTCTCTGCTAGTAGACTATATTGAGTCATTACGTCACATCTGTACACATAAAGAAGAGTCTCGGCTAGTAGACTATATTGAGTCATTACGTCACATCTGTACACATAAAGAAGAGTCTCGGCTAGTAGACTATATTGAGTCATTACGTCACATCTGTACACATAAAGAAGAGTCTCGGCTAGTAGACTATATTGAGTCATTACGTCACATCTGTACACATAAAGAAGAGTCTCGGCTAGTAAACTATATTGAGTCATTACGTCACATCTGTACACATAAAAAAGAGTCTGGGCTAGTAGACTATATTGAGTCATTACGTCACATCTGTACACATAAAGAAGAGTCTGGGCTAGTAGGCTATATTGAGTCATTACGTCACATCTGTACACATAAAGAAGAGTCTCGGCTAGTAGACTATATTAAGTCATTACGTCACGTCTGTACACATAAAGAAGAGTCTCGGCTAGTAGACTATATTGAGTCATTACGTCACATCTGTACACATAAAGAAGAGTCTCGGCTAGTAGGCTATATTGAGTCATTACGTCACATCTGTACACATAAAGAAGAGTCTCGGCTAGTAGACTATATTGAGTCATTACGTCACATCTGTCCACATAAAGAAGAGTCTCGGCTAGTAGGCTATATTGAGTCATTACGTCACATCTTTACACATAAAGAAGAGTCTCGGCTAGTAGGCTATATTGCGTCATTACGTCACATCTGTACACATAAAGAAGAGTCTCGGCTAGTAGACTATATTGCGTCATTACGTCACATCTGTACACATAAAGAAGAGTCTCGGCTAGTAGGCTATATTGAGTCATTACGTCACATCTGTACACATAAAGAAGAGTCTCAGCTAGTAGGCTATAATGCGTGTGAGGATGCTGGAGGTGGAGATTTACAGCCTTTTCTCACAGCGCTTAATATAATTAAACTTAGCAATTTGATGGCGGATCCAGAAAGGTTCAACCGCATGGGTCCGGTTGAGACTGCAACCGGACCCATGCGAAAACAAGGATAATATCGGAAGGACATACATGTAGTCACGCAATGCTGACGTTCTTAACATTAACAATTTGAGAACAAAGTATAATTTGCACGGTTTTGCGTGATATGATAACTTATAAGCGATTGTTAGATTTAATCAGCGCGATTTACTGCAATGTCAGAACCAGAACAAAGGTGGATGTTTCTTACTAGTTCAGATTACATTTTCCCGTGTAACTTCTTATGTTGGTCATACTTCCAAAAATAATAATCTGTGATTCTGAATGCCAGTATCCACACCGGCGCGGTGACTGACAGCCTCACAGTGTCCTCAAACACTGTGTTCATCCGCGCTGTGCGGTGTCGAAGTACAACTCACGTAAAGTTGATAATTCCGCAAATGACTGCAATTGCAGATTTCGAACAGAGATGGCGACAAAGAGGAAAAACGTCAGACTGCAGCTTTAAGCAATGCTGTGTTTTTCAATCTCATATTCTCTTTATCAGTTTGAAACTGGGAATATCTCCCACATTGCTTTGCATCGTAGTTTTCACAGGTTTAGTTTGGTGTTAGGTGGAAATCTTGGTTTTCAGGTTATGGGGTAATTGGGGCAATGTTTTCAGCTCTCGGCCCAAGATCTGTTTCGGCCTGATTGTGTCTGTTATCTGACTGGCTCTAAACTCCCTACGTGTGGATCCAGTAGTTAGTTTATATTGAGTGATTCATACGATTCCTGTTTGCAGCATCAAAGAGTTTCCTGAGAGCGGTCCAAATGACAACGTGCAGAAAGTTCAAGAAATAAACTAGAACTAGCATCCAATGATTTAGAAGAACAGTCAGAGCTATATATATATATATATATATATATATATTTTATCATTATTATTATTTTCTTTACAGAGTTTGGTAAAGACTTTTTAATGCATTTTGTGTCCTTGCCAGAAAGCCACGTGTGTGTATAAATGTATATCATATGTTTTTGATGTTATTTTAACTTAATTATACTTGCAAATTAACCATTAAGTTAAAATCATTATTTACATTTACAATTATTAATTAAGATGTATAATGTTATAAGTTATGATGTATATAAATGTACATAAATTAAGAATGTATTATTATTATGCATTTATTGAATTAATATTTGAAAGTAACAATATATATAGTTAATATAAAATAACTATTTAATTTAAAATTTACAAGTATACTTATGATTTGTCACGCTTATAATTCAGCTGGTTCAATTACACTGGGTCTGAACGTAAAGGTTTTTAGCTTATATATATATGTGTATATATATATATATATATATATATATATATATATATATATATATATATATATATAAATATATGTATATATATATATATATATATATAAATAAACTTAATGTATAATTTATTATATATATGTATGTATGTGTGTGTGTATGTATAGTTAATGTTAAATAATAATTTAATAAAAAATATACAAGTATATTTATACTTCTTATACTTATACTTCAGCTAATTTAATTGCCCTTGGTCCACAGACCTCTGAGCGTATAGGTTTATAGCTTTTAAAAGTTTTTATTTCGTGCAGATTTTGGATGAGATCAGTGAGCAAGGAATCCGGATCTACCAGCTTCCCGACGCTGATTCGGATGAAGACGAAGAATTCAAGGAACAGACGCGTGTCCTAAAGGTCAGAGGTCAAAGTTTTTAAGTTCATTATCAGCTCTGTAACACTGCCCGACCTCCCAAAGGCTTTGATTGAAGTTGAACGAGTGTGTTTGTGTGCAGGCCAGCATCCCGTTTGCCGTCATCGGCTCCAACCAGCTGATAGAGGTGAAGGGGAAGAAGATCCGTGGGCGCTTGTACCCGTGGGGGGTGGTGGAGGTGGAAAACCCCGAGCACAATGATTTCCTCAAGCTGCGCACTATGCTGGTGTGAGTACACACACACACACACACACACACGTTAGGGTGTCTTAACCTCCTAAATATGAGAAACGCCAGTAAAAACTGAAAAGGTCAAACTGTTTACATGACTATTTCCACCCTCTGAACCTTAGAGTCCAACAGAATGTTTTTGTTGCCGTACCTTTTGAGACTCCTTGATGTAAATGAAACTCTTCACATGCCCAAATGAGTAGCAAGGCTTACTTAACAATAGAGCGTTTGCAAAAACACTTTAAAATAAGCTAACAAGGACAGGGTGATTCGTACAAAAAATTTAATTCCAAAAGTAAAAAATGTTTTTGCATAAAGAAAATTAAGCCAATTTTATGACCATTAAAATGTATGCATTTTCGACGCAGATTTCCACTCCAAATTCTCTTTACATGTAATGCATCTGTATGACTTATTTATTCTCAATGGTGATTCTCATAAGTCATGAGTCTCAAAACTGTATTTTAATAAAAAAATGAGTAACACTTTACGATAAGGTTTTATTTGTTGACATTCGTTAACTGTATTATTCAACATTAACTAACGACGAACAATACGGACATTTATTAATCTTAGTAAATCTTGGTAATTTCTACGTTTACTAATACATTTCTAAAGTTGTATTTGTCAACATTTGTTAATGCACTGTAAACTAAAATGAACCAAAAAAGAACAAGTAGAGCTTTACTAACATTAACAAAACTTAATGATTGCTTTAAAAAAATATATTGCTCATGTTAACAAATGAGGCCTATAAAAAAATGTCTATGTTTATATCGGCATACAAAATAAAATGTAGGTTATTTTGCACTACATTATTGAGAAATTGAGGGAAATTTGATTAATTATTATGAATATGTCTCAATGGAAAAAACTCTTGGTGGTAAAATAGGCTGTAATTTCTTTATGCAAAAAATATAATTTCTTATTTCTTTGATTTTGGAGGAAATATGTCCTGTGAGATATCTTATAAGACAATTTGGGTGACTGTTGGCTTGATTTCTCCATTTGTTCTGCAGCGCCCTCTGCTGACATAAATCTTTAAGCTTTGTGTGTGTGTGTGTGTGTGTGTGTGTGTGTGTGTGTGTGTGTGTGTGTGTGTGTGTGTGTGTGTGTGTAGAACTCACATGCAGGACCTGCAGGAGGTCACTCAAGATCTCCACTATGAGAACTTCCGTTCTGAGAGACTAAAGCGAGCTGGCAGGTGAGGCAAATCAACAAACACGAGATCACAGATTGTCAAGGGGTCATAAAGTGCCGTTTTCCTAGTTAATCACTGTTCTATTGACCGAATAATTACACACATTTTTTAAGTTCATAACAGCTCAATTGAAAGAGTAAGACATTTTACAGTTGAGACCTGATGATCAAACATTACTCAATCCATCGCAAACTTGCTTATTTGATTGGTAAAATAGAAATAGTGCAGAACCTTAAATATTTCTGAAGCGATTTTCCATCAAATTTGTTTTAAATTTGTCAAAATCCTATAAATAAGAGTCTGTCTGACCCTACTGATCCTCACTACGCGTGAACGGAGTTTGCACATTTCCATGGTTAATAGGACTGTATATACTTAAAGGTGCTATATGGAACTTTTCTTCTAAAATGAATCCTTTTTTTATTGCCTGTGTGTGAAGGGGTTGTAATCACACATTACAATGATCCACTTGTCGGGTTTTGCTATTACCTCTGAAGGCCAGTATTCATATTTATATGTGAAGTCTCCGGGTCGGATTTACCGTGGATTTATCCATCGGATGTGACGTGCATGCGCGCTCCCGAGCCTCTCTCCTTCTTATATACAGTCTATGCGACGGCACTGCAGCTGACGACATGGAGTCTGTTAACACCCAAACACGACCTGCCTCCAGCACAACACACACTCCAACACAAACTCCACATAAATATAAAAAACAAAACAAAGTTTTATCTGCTGAAGCTCGTCAGGCCAAACGTGATTCTGATCGACTCAGGACGAAAACACGGATCAACATCGGCAGAGCTTTTGAATTATTAGTAAACTCAAATGAAATAGCAAGGTAAACTACATGAGACATGGAATGAATACAAAAGACTGTTCCAGGATAAGAAAAGGTGCTTTAGGATACTTGTTTTATGTACTAGATCTACGTTATAGATCGTTACGCTATAACGTAATTCATCCCACTATCATATTGTTTATAATAAACATTTCCAGACACGTTCAGTACAGTAATGTTACTTCCTACTGTCTTTCTGTTACACTGACATTGTTCAGTCTAGTTCACTAACCGTTTTCGTTATCATTATTATACATTCACCTATGTTGACATGACATTGTTGATTGTGAAAGATACACGAATAGTTCGTGAAATGCCGTAGACTATGCTAGATAACACCAGATGTCGCTAAATGCAGTCAATGTAACGTTATCATGGTACGAGCATGGAGCATTAGTTCAACGTCAAGCTGATAAAAGTAGTCTATTATTGTAACGGTGCAGTGGGAGTTTACATGAGTTTCCAGCATGTTGTGTGATGCTTTCTCCGTTGTGTTGAAAGTCTCAGTGTGGCCGGTAGTGAATGCTCGCTCCTGAGATCGCACACACACACGAGCACGAGCGCTCTTGTTGCAATCTGAAACATCACCGCTAGAGGCTGCTAAAAAAGTTCCATAGAGCACCTTTAATTTAATGCCTCCAGAATTTATAGTATTAAATTATTATTTTTTCTCAAAGCTAAGCATAAGAAATACATAAGAACAAAATGCAAGCTGTCAGTGAAACGGGCCTAACTTGTGTGATTCATCTGCTGTCTTGATCTGTGTCTGTGATGCACAGTTTGGGTTTGTCAGAGCTGCACGCTTTCATTGACTTTCCCAGTTTAATTCTCACATTAATAGTATTTAGAGCTCCTAACTTAATAAATAAGCTGTGTTACTATGAGGAATGATTTCCTCAAAATGTAAATCTGTATTCAGGTGCGAGTGCGAGGTACATCATCTAAATGAGATATTTATACAGCTCATGCTTTTGCTCAGTGTTGGCATGCAAGGGATTTGAGTGAATGTTTGGTGTATATTTGTGCTGAAACCATGTGATCCAGCAGGGATGTTGAGGAAGATGTGATGGACAAAGACCAGATCCTCTTGGAGAAGGATGCTGAGGTAAGTCACAAACACATATGCATATCATTTTGACAATCGGTTCAAACTCTATAATAATATCTTATATATTAAGATTTTGTAATGATTTTGAAAAAATATCTCTTCTGCTCACCAAGGCTAATGTAAAAACAGTAATATTGTGAAACCATCCATATCGTGCGTAATTTGTTTGCGATACTCTGGCCTATGGGAATGTATATCCCAGTCAGGTGCGGATGCAATCAGTGCAGTTTATAAACATGCATGTCTGCACAGGAAATGACATCAACTTCCTGCAGCACTGAACATAGAGTATGCACACTTACAATGTAAAGTGTGTGTGTATACAGGTTTAAAGGGATAGTTCACCCAAAAATGAAAATTAGCCCATGATTTACTCACCCTGAAGCCATCCTATGTGTATATGACATTCTTCTTTCAGACGCATACAATCAGAGTTATATAAAAAAATGTCCTGGCTCTTCCAAGCTTTATAATGAGAGTGAATGGCTGTTTGACTTTGGAAGTCCATTAAAGCGCATCTATTCATGATAAAAGTGCTCGACACGGCTCTGCGGGGGTTAATAAAGGCCTTCTGAAGTGAAGCGATGCGTTCGTGTAAGAAAAATATTTAAAACTTTATTGACTAAAATAACTAGCTTCCGGCAGACGGCCGTACGCAAGTCGACTTACGCCAAAAGAGTAACACCTGAACTTGACGCACAACATAACGATGAACGCGGTAGCCCAGCTCTGTGTGTTTGAACCGCGAGAGGCGTCAAAGCTTACGCTACTCCTACATCTACGTCATACACCGTCCAGTGTTACTCTTTTGGCGTAAGTCGACTTGCGTACGGCCGTCTGCGGGAAGCTAGTTATTTTAGTCGATAAAGTTTTAAATATGAATATTTTTCTTACACGAACGCATCACTTCACTTCAGAAGGCCTTTATTAACCCCCGCAGAGCCGTGTGGAGCACTTTTATCATGGATGGATGGACTTTGATAGGCTGGTTCTACCAGACTCTCGTACATTTCATTTGTACAGAGTCTGGCACCGCTCCATTGACAATCGTTAACTTCCTTGTAGGCGGGGACTCTATTGAAGTCTAAAACTATTGGATCTGCCCAGAGTCACTCTGGATCTGCCACCAATCGCTAACGTTTGCTCGTGATGTATGTCGAACCCTGTGGGAAGGAGGGCCACAACATCATCGCCAAAACAAAACTAAGCAAAGATTGTTCTTGCTCCGGCTTTAACTTCTTAATATTCGCCAGCGTTGCTACACCGGACCGAATGGCTTCGCTCGCATCTTTCTCCGCTGCCATTACTGAACTACAACTCAAAATAACGCACGACGTCATCGTTCTCAGCCACTCCCTCTGTTCGCTGATTGGCCCTACAAAAAGTTGATCGGAGAAAACCAAACTCTACAGCAGAATCCCAGACGTAGTACTGAAGGAAAATGAATTTGAGCGGAAGTGCGTAGGAGGGCGCAGCCAGGCTAGCACTTTGATGGACTTCCAAAAAAATATACCCATTCACTCCCATTATAAACCTTGGAAGAGCCAGGACATTTTTTAATATAACTCTGATTGTAATCGTCTGAAAGAAGAATGTCATGTACACCTGGGTGTAAAAAGGCGACGGCCATTCGCATCAATTTACGCCAAAAGAGTAGCACTTGAACTTGACGCACAATGTAATGATGAACGCGATTGCCCTGTGTGTTTGAACCGTGAGAGGCGTCAATTGCCATCATTACGCTGTGCGTCAAGTTCAAGGGTTACTCTTTTGGCGTAAATCATTTTTGGGTGAACTATCCCTTTAGCCTAGCACAAAGATAGTAAAACCTGAAATCAGCTACATTATGGCAAGCAGTCAAAAGCCCTCAAGAGGAAAACAGATTAATAAACATGCTAAATAAAGTTTTAATTAATATGTAAAAGTGCAAAAGTGAGCGTTTGGTTTAAGGGATAGAAAATATCATTCGCTTAGTATAAAAATGGAAAGACTGCACCAAGATACAAAACAAACACAAGTGTGTTTTAAGCATCTTCATCATCAGTGATGTGTTTCGAGGAGCTGTGTACAGTATGTATGATCTCTAATTATCATGATTGTAGTGATTAGACCTTCATTAGAGTGCTGTGTAATTGTGTTTATGTTTCACTGTGTTTATGTGTACGTGTCAGTCTACATGAGGTGAAACAATGTTAGATGTTGTGCAGTAAAGTGTGAAAATACACAAACGCACACTTCTGATTGGAAATTTAGCTGGAAATAATATGTTCTCTATTGCACCAGATGAAATGTTATATTAAAGTGACACATACACTGCTGTTTAAAAGTTTGGGGTCGGTAAGATTTTTTTATGTTTTTGAAAGAAGTCTCTTCTGCTCACCCATGCTGCATTTATTTGGGGGGGAAAAAAGAAAAATACAGTAAAACCAGAAATATTGTGAAATATTATTACAATTTAAAATAACAGTTTTCTATTTGAATATATTGTAAAATGTAATTTATTCCTGTGATCAAAGCTGAATTTTCAGCATCATTACTCCAGTCTTCAGTGTCACATGATCCTTCAGAAATCAGTCTAATATGATGATTTGCTCAGGAAACGTTTCTACTTATTAATTATTATTACAGGTATTAATTTGTTTATATATATGTTTTATTTACATATCCGCTTTTTCTTCTTTTGCAGCTGAGACGCATGCAGCAGATGATCGCTCAGATGCAAGCTCAGATGAAGATGAAACCGGGAGACGACTAAGTGTGTGTGTGTTTCTGTGTGTGTGTCTGTTTGTATGTATGTTGTGGGAACAGGAAGTGCGATCTGACTTGGTTGCATTTATCCTACCCTTTTCTAAACACTATTTTCTCTTATCCCTCATGTTTATCAGATTGATGGAACATAATGTTAATGATCCCTAATTAATGTAACCAATCATTATAGCAGCTCCGCCCATATGAATAACCTCGACACTGAAACCAACGGTCCATTATGATGTCTTTTAATCAAGTCTTTGTCCAATCAGGTTAGATGCTGTTAATAATTTATATCATGATTTCACTGACAATGTCCAGCATATGTTCATCTGTATATTGATCGGGGTTTGTGGTCAGCTCAGCTGCATTTAGGACGTTTTTCTGTGCCAAAACACTCTTTTTAAGCTGCTTGGCTTGTCCCAGTCATGTTTTTCATGCGTCAGACTGGCATTCGTTTACCAGATAACCTCGTCGATACTTTATAGAGTGCTTGTGGATAGATAGGATCAAATAAGAGGATGTTGTACTTGTAGATGCACCTGGTCAAGTTTACAGTTTTATCAAATGGACAGGTTCATAATCGTGATGCATTCACAGACATGAATTAATATCAGAGTTTGTTTAAAAATGTTTTTTGTGTTTCATGTGCTTAGCACTACGTTCTTGATGGAGAAACATAGACTGAGATGGATGTCAAATTTCATCACAAAAAGTATCATCACTATCAAAGAAAATGATCTTTCTTTTAAATGCATTTAAATCTCTATTTGTCAAGTCAAGCTGTGCACTGGTCAGCGTTTCCCTCTGGTGGACGCTACAGGGAAACAAGCTGAAGTCCAATTGAAAGCACATAAAAGCTACAATTGCCAGATTGGATCATGAAATAACTAAGACTACAATTGGACAATCTCTTGACATCATGTTGCATTTGGTCAATAATGCAATATCTGATCAGTATCTTTTTGAAAGGAAAAATTGCACAATAAAGTTTATGAGAGTTCACCTTTCATATTTAGAAAGAATGAATATAGTAATGGTACTAAAATGAGGATAAAGACAAGTTATGTTTATTGTGGACAGCTGTATTTTGATTCACAGAAATGCCTTAAAACTCCACTTAAATGCACACATTTGTAGTCTTTCTCTTCTTTTATACTTATATTCTCATGGTGTGGGGTTTTCTATCAGTTGTATGGCTTTTTTACTTTATTTACTTCTTTAAACAATAACATCTACTGCAGTGGACTTTATATTTTTTGTTTACCAGCTGGTACGTTTTACTGTATGTTTTAAAAGTTCATCTTAGCGGTCTTAGAAACACACCGTCAGACATTTGACAGCATTGTAGTGAGTTATCTGCTAATTATTGATGTCTGCAGTAAACACACTGATTTTGTTTTGTGGTTCAGCCCAGTTATTTTGACTTGGTTATCTCCTGTTTCGGCCTTTTTAAAGAATTAACAGTTGTGCGGTACAGTAACGCTTACTTCCCTGTTTTACATCTTCCTTTTTGTACTTGCCTGTGTTGAGAAATAAATAACTTTCTGAGTCATTTGTTTTGAACGTTTTAATTTTCTGCAAGCATGAATGTTTGAAGTCTCAGAAATGGTTTGTATATTTGTATGAATATTATTCATTTCCCTTCGTACTCAAAAGTGAAAAATGGGACTCTTTTTCATTTACCATTTTTGACTAGTTTCATTGCTGCAAATTTCATGCTTATCCTGATTTATTTTAAAAAGAATGCTTGGCACATGCTTGTTTTTTTATTTTTATAAAAAAAATATAAAATGAATTGACACCAAATATAGTTTTTTTTTACTAAACAAACAGTTAAATTTAAAATGCTCAATTAATAAAGTGAATTATTAAGTAAAAGCCTTAAATATTATTTATTCAAGTACTTTTAACTAGATTTAATATAATTAATGAAAAGATTTTTATATTTTAATGATATTTAATTTTGAATATTTTATTGCACCAATTTGATTTTATCTTTTTAAATTCAAAATGACACGTTTGCTAAAGTAACAAGCACAATGTAAGAATCCAATATCAGACCAAAGTAGGAAAAAACTAGCATTTACGGTACATGAAAGATCTCGTCATAAGGCGCAGCTGTAGTATTTTTTTATTATTATTATTTTTTATTACAGAACGTATACAGGTCCTTCTAAAAAAATTTGCATATTGTGATAAAGTTAATTATTTTCCATAATGTAATGATAAAAATTAAACTTTCATATATTTTAGATTCATTGCACACCAACTGAAATATTTCAGGTCTTTTATTGTTTTAATACTGATGATTTTGGCATACAGCTCATGAAAACCCAAAATTCCTGTCTCAAAAAATTAGCATATCATGAAAAGGGTCTCTAAACGAGCTATTAACCTAATCATCTGAATCAACTAATTAACTATAAACACCTGCAAAAGATTCCTGAGGCTTTTAAAAACTCCCAGCCTGTTTCATTACTCAAAACCGCAATCATGGGTAAGACTGCCGACCTGACTGCTGTCCAGAAGGCCATCATTGACACCCTCAAGCAAGAGGGTAAGACAGAAAGAAATTTCTGAACAAATAGGCTGTTCCCAGAGTGTTGTATCAAGGCACCTCAGTGGGAAGTCTGTGGGAAGGAAAAAGTGTGGCAAAAAACGCTGCACAACGAGAAGAGGTGACCGGACCCTGAGGAAGATTGTGGAGAAGGACCGATTCCAGAGCTTGGGGGACCTGCGGAAGCAGTGGACTGAGTCTGGAGTAGAAACATCCAGAGCCACCGTGCACAGGCGTGTGCAGGAAATGGGCTACAGGTGCCGCATTCCCCAGGTCAAGCCACTTTTGAACCAGAAACAGCGGCAGAAGCGCCTGACCTGGGCTACAGAGAAGCAGCACTGGACTGTTGCTCAGTTTTGCATGTTATTCGGAAATCAAGGTGCCAGAGTCTGGAGGAAGACTGGGGAGAAGGAAATGCCAAAATGCCTGAAGTCCAGAGTCAAGTACCCACAGTCAGTGATGGTCTGGGGTGCCATGTCAGCTGCTGGTGTTGGTGCACTGTGTTTTATCAAGGGCAGGGTCAATGCAGCTAGCTATCAGGAGATTTTGGAGCACTTCATGCTTCCATCTGCTGAAAAGCTTTATGGAGATGAAGATTTCATTTTTCAGCACGACCTGGCACCTGCTCACAGTGCCAAAACCACTGGTAAATGGTTTACTGACCATGGTATTACTGTGCTCATTTGGCCTGCCAACTCTCCTGACCTGAACCCCATAGAGAATCTGTGGGATATTGTGAAGAGAAAGTTGAGAGACGCAAGACCCAACACTCTGGATGAGCTTAAGGCCGCTATCCAAGCATCCTGGGCCTCCATAACACCTCAGCAGTGCCACAGGCTGATTGCCTCCATGCCACGCCGCATTGAAGCAGTCATTTCTGCAAAAGGATTCCCGACCAAGTATTGACTATTGAGTGCATAACTGATAATAATTATTTGAAGGTTGACTTTTTTTTTTTTGTATTAAAAACACTTATTTTATTGGTCGGATGAAATATGCTATTTTTTTGAGACAGGAATTTGGGGTTTTCATGAGCTGTATGCCAAAATCATCAGTATTAAAACAATAAAAGACCTGAAATAGTTCAGTTGGTATGCAATGAATCTAAAATATATGAAAGTTTAATTTTTATCATTACATTATGGAAAATAATGAACTTTATCACAATATGCTAATTTTTTTTAGAAGGACCTGTACATACATACATACGTGCATGATCAGGGAGATGAGCTTGGTTGTATCTCTTTCAATGAACAATAACAACAAAAATAAAAATAAGTAAATATCCTGGATTTGCATACATCAAAAAATAGAAAATAGAAATGAAAAATTCAGCAAGAAAAAGAGAAACGCCCTAGGCGCAGCTGTAGTATTCTGTAATAGGTTTCTATGAATGACGTGTGTGTGGGCGGGGTTTCGCCTGCGCTGGCCACGCCCCTCCACCCCTGAGGTTCCGAGCTCGAGACAGACCGAAGCCGAGCCCAGCAGAACTGCAGAGAGCGAGACAGGCCGAAACATGAGCACCAACATCAGATATAAGAGCAGGCTCATGAAATCCGGTAATGACACAGACACGGGGACTGTTTTTACTCTGTTTTTACTGTGAGTGAGTGGATGAAATGATGACTATTTCTCTCTTCCTGCCTGTGCATCTTCATCCTCGCGCACCTGCTTCCCTCATCCGACCTGCTGCTGCTGCTTCAGAGGACAGTGAGGTGAGAAACAGCAACTTTACCACACTGCGCAGTTTTACAGATGTTTTCAGAGTTCCTACCAATTTCAATGTACAAACCGCCGTCGTTTCCACACAAGTTAAACCGCGTGACAAAATCATACGACGCTCAATCTGACAGCGTTTTATACATATTGCTGCTTTCTTATGTGTTCACGCGAGCGTTTACGAGGTTTAACCCGGTTTCATCCGACTGTGTTGTTGCTGTCACCCTCCCTCGACTGACGCACTTCATTCCTTCAGGATTATAATAACGCATATCTCGTGCATTCGTCTGTCATGCATTCTTCTCCTGATCAGCAGCCTGAAGGAAATCTGATGTCTGTTGGCTGTTTTGTGTCGTCGATATGAGGATGATAGTGCTACTCCTCTCTGGAGGTGTTGTCATGGTTACAGGAGCTGGAGGCTGATGGTGCTGAGCTCTAGATGTTTGAGTGAAAGAGTGTTTCCTCCTCAACCAATATATCTATTGGTGTGGTGATGTGCATCTAAATGTGGTTTCAGATCTTGTTAAGCAGCATCACCCATAAAATGGGCTGTCGTGTCGATCATTTAAACAGTCGGGATGGGAACCTTTAGTCCACGTTTCAATCCGATTTGCTATTTAATATTGTTAGTGTCAGGTGGTATTATCATTCTGGAGAGCAAGCTATTGGCATCAATATTTCTAATCCATTTTCCCCAAAGAGAAAGACTGTATATTTTAAATGCATACACTGCTGTTCAAAAGTTTGGGGTCGGTAAGATTATTTTCTTTTAAAGAAATTACTTTTATTCAGCAAGGATGCATTCAATTGACCAAAAGTGACAGTAAAGACACTCATAATGTTACTGAATATTTCAATTTCTAATAAATGCTGTTCTTTATATATTTCTATTCATCAAAGAATAAAAAAAAAATGCAACACAGTTTCCACAAGCAACATGACAAGAATTTTGTTTTCAACATTGATAATAATCATAAATGTTTCTTGAGCAGTAAATCATCATATTAGACTGATTTCTGAAGGATCATGTGACACTGAAGACT